TGTTCTGCGTTGTGCTGTGTTGTGCAGTACGGCGTGCTGTGTTGTGCTGCGTCGTGCATCACGGCGTGCTGTGTTGTGCTGCGTCGTGCATCACGGCGTGATGCGTTGTGATGCGTCGTGCCGTGTCGTGCAGGACGGTATGTTGTGTCATAGATCATGTTGTGTCGTGCATCTTAATCTCTGCCGTGCTTTTCGGATTACATCTGTACATACATGTATATAGTAGTCTGTCGTGCACCTCAGTAAGTCGTGCATCTCGAATGCTGTCAGCTGCATGTCGTGTCCCTCGCTCCTTCGGTGTTGTCATTTTTCTTTGAGGTTCCTCGACGCATCTCGTTCTACTCGACGCCTCTCGTTCTACTCGACGCCTCTCGTTCTACTCGACGCCTCTCGTTCTACTCGACGCCTCTCGTTATACTCGATGCCTCTCGTTCCTCCCGACGCCTCTCGTTCCACTCGACGCCTCTCGTTCCACTCGACGCCTCTCGTTCCACTCGACGCCTCTCGTTCCACTCGACGCCTCTCGTTCCACTTGACGCCTCTCGTTCCACTCGACGCCTGTCACGGTTTACTCGGCGCCTCTCATTATACTCGCTCCCTCTCACGCTTTACTCGATGCCTCTTATTTTTCTTTACAATGAACATTCTCATTAGTTGTCACGCTATACTCGACGTTTACCGTTCTATCGCTATGAGACGTTAGCTTTTGTCCCATTGCCTACACGCTTTCTTACGAAAGAATTCATTTTGCTCAATATATTTCTGTGTTATCGAACTTATTTGATCATAATAAATGATCTATTTAGTAAATATTCATGTTAATATTTGTAATATTCATAACTAGCATCTTGTCACCGCAGTTGCATCGTTTGGTCTGTCGCAGCACCGTTTTTTCTCAACAATTATGTAATGAAAGCCTCATTTTTCATTAATTTCTAAATCTTTTAAATCTGTTCCGTCTGCTTTATGTCTTGCCTTCATATCATGTCCTGTCGTCCAGGAAGTAGCAAATGAAAGTCAAGAGCTCGTATCACCGTCGCCGCCGTCGGGTTAGGCTCAGTCAGGAATGGCAGCGCGCCGCCTAATGAACTTGGACGCGGGCAACCTCCATGGTGAGGCAATCTCACTTGCCCTTACACTTTCTGGTTTGTGGGACCACTTTCTTCTTCCTCGGCTTGCTCTTGACATCAATCGAACATACGTTCAGTTTCGTGTCTACTCAGAATGCATGAAGATTGCGGAGCCTCCAAAAGACTCTGGTGATGAGTTTTTGGCGGTTTCACACTAAAAGCGTTGTGTTTTCTGCGTTAGTGTGTATTCTATTAATTTTGTCTTTCGGTGATACATAACTTTGTCTTTCGGTGATACATAACTTTGTCTTTCGGTGATACATAACTTTGTCTTCCGGTGTCGCTTCTGGGAAATTAGAGAGCTATATTTTCTGCGTTTATTCATGTTCCTGGGATTTGCATTGTCGCTTCGAGTTTCTTGGAGCGTTAGACTCACTTCGTCGGATGAAAAAATCTTCTGGATGAAGATTTTTATTTACTTTTGGCGTGTTTTTACTTGTATTTTTTGTGGGTGATGGTGCGAACGATGGATTTTATGTCGTTTATGAATTGGTAGCGCAATGAATATTGTCCATCCTTTAGGTTCTTTGAACTTGTATATTTTGTGTCTTCTTCGAGTTTTTGGAAGTTGTGATTTTCTGTCTTCTCTGTGTTTTTGGTACTTTGTTATTCTGATGGATTCTGAGAGCCTATATATTATATTCTGTCAATGAACACATTAGATTTTATTTGCAGCTTTCATGTTGTTGAAATACGTTGAAATTCATTCAATACGAAAATATTTTTTGCTCAAAGTATCTTCCAAGGATTCTCAAATATTTGATTTTTTCTTAATTTCTGAAACATTTTATTTATTCAGTTGAGTAAAAGGTAACTGAACTGTAATATGCTCGTTGACTCTAGGTTGACGACGTAGGCTACGACGCTACAGCGGTCTTCAGCAATGTTTTGTAAGTGCCCTGCACGCAGCAGTAACGTACGTAGCCTTTACTTACGTACGTAGTAACGTGCGTAGCCTTTGGTAACGTACGTAGCCTTTACGTACGTACGTAGTAACGTACGTAGCCTTTAGTAACGTACGTAGTAACGTACGTAGCCTTTAGTAACGTACGTAGTAACGTACGTAGCCTTTAGTAACGTACGTAGCCTTTAATGAGGACAGGAAGGATAAGCTTGTGACGCTGCTAGACCTTTGGTTTTCCTTGCCGTCCCACTGAGCGTTCCTCGCTTATGTTTCTTGTGCTTCCGATCACGTCACGTGCTGCTTTCCGCTTCCGTTATATGAAGTAACTTTTTGAGTAACTACCTTTAGTAGTAACTACTTTTTTAACTAGTAACTTTTAGTTTAGTTGTAACTACCGTTAATAACTACCATTTGAATACGGAGTTGAAAGTGTCGTACCTGTGTAAGCAAATGATGTTATACAGATGTCACTTCTCTTATTCTACATGGAGCGATAAGTATTCATGTCCTTGGCGTGTGTAATATGTGTGTCAATAGTATGTAGAGCAGCTTTAACATTGACCTACTTGGATACGTGTCGGATAAAGAGATAAGCTACCTACTTTGAGATAGCAGACAGCGCGCGGCGTTTGCTCTGTACAGTCATGCTTGTCCGTTGATGCAATAAGCTATCCTATGTGCTCTCGCATCGTGATTTTCAGTGCTGGACTCTTGTGAAACGTCTCCCATGTGTTGATATTAGTGAAGGTTTCCTTTCAAAGATTAGGCAAGGACCGATGTTTCGTTATTTAAAAGGACATATGTGTCTTATAAAACTGTTATTTATGCGAAACGTCTCCCAGTTTTGATATTGGTGTCAAAGTTTAGACAAGGACCGAAGTTTTGTTATTTAAAAAGACGTATGTACCATAGTGAGAATATAATTTTTCAGGCGTACTAGAGCGACTAGCATCGCGCCAATTGTTGCTAACAACCAGGATGTTTCGGAGCGTTTTTCAATCTGATCACAATTTCCTACGTATGACGAGTATCATTAAAACTTTATGTTCGCTTAACAGCCGCAACTATTATGCCGAAACGCAGATTTAAACATCCTGTGCTATTTTCCTCGAGTGAAACCCTTGCTACCAAATGTGTTCGTCCTTATTCTTGTGCTCAATTATTTAATGTTCCTAATAGTAATTATATTCAGAAGTTTCGTGAAGTAAAATTTGATCTTCCAACTGGGATAGAATAGTTCAAATTAAAGGATGAAAAGTTTACACTCATAATGAGGCTTCACTAAATCTCCAACATTTAAATTTGCTTACCGCTTGATTACGACCTTATTTTCATACCCTTAGACCTTATTTCACCACACTACCCTCGCCCACCACCACACTACCCTCGCCCACCACCACATCACCACTCTACCCTCGCCCACCACCACATCATCACACTACCCTCACCCCCCCACCACATCACCACACTACCCTCACCCACCACCACATCACCATTCTACCCTCACCCACCACCACATCACCACACTACCCTCACCGCCCACCACCACATCACCACTCTACCCTCGCCCACATCACCACACTACCCTCGCCCACATCACCACTCTACCCTCGCCCACATCACCACACTACCCTCGCCCACATCACCACACTACCCTCGCCCACATCACCACTCTACCCTCACCCACCACCACATCACCACTCTACCCTCGCTCACCACCACATCACCACTCTACCCTCGCTCACCACCACATCACACTACCCTCGCCCACATCACCACTCTACCCTCGCGTGTCGCCACTCTACCCTCGCCCACCACCACATCACACTACCCTCGCCCACCACCACATCACCACTCTACCCTCGCCCACATCACCACTCTACCCTCGCCCACATCACCACTCTACCCTCGCGTGTCCCAGATGGGCCGCTGCTCCAGTTCTCGTCTGTCCGTCGCCCCGCAAGCATCGCGGGCGTTTCTTAGCGCGCCGGCGTCGCGCCGTCACTCACGCCGCTCTGGTATGTCCTCGGCCGGTGTGACGTGACAGCCAATGTGTGTCACATTGTGACGTGACAGCCAATGCGTGTCACATTGTGACGTGACAGCCAATGTGTGTCACATTGTGACGTGACAGCAAGTGTGTGTCACATTGTGACGTGACAGCAAGTGTGTCATATTGTGACGTGACAAAAAGTGTGTTACATTGTGCCGTGAAACTGTGTCACAATGTGCCGTGGCACTTACTGTGTGTCGCATTGTGCCGTGGCATTTACTGTGTCACGAAACATTGGCTAATACCGTGAGCAGTGATGTGCCTCCTAGAACTGTCGGAGCCGCGGTGCTCACGTTTTACCGCGATTTTGTACTGCGTAATATGCATTCTTTTCATTATACTCGTTGTGTAACATAACAAGATGAGCCGATCGTGACTTGATGTTTACCGTAACACTCGTGTATCGTGACACAATGTCAGCGTGCTTCTTAGTTGTGTAGCTTTTGTTATTATGTTTGTATGTGTACATATCACGTGAAAAAGTTGAGCGTCGCATTACAGCAGGGTGCATATGACCGAGCATATGACTGGATCGACTGTTAAGCTATATTACATCCGGGTACGGAATTCATCCGGTTATTATTTGTTTAAGTCTTCGATGTTAAGGTAACTGGTCGAAAATCCGAAATAAAACCAATGTAGAGAGATACTTTAGGGAGTTTTCGTGATGATCGTATCTGTTCTATTTCGATTAGAATTTTCGTGATGATCGTATCTATTCTATTTCTATTAGAATTTTCGTGATGATCGTATGTGTTCTATTTCTATTGTTACCTCAATTGCCACGCGACGCAATCACTTCACCTGAACGCTCAGCGTGGACAGCTTTCTCTCTCACAGAAAGTGAAGCGAATATTCCGTTGTTTGTACGAACCGTACGACCTTCAACTTTCCACGCTCTTTTGTGCTATTCCTACGCTGTTGGGATTTTGATAGATCCATTGTTTATTTCATCGCTGTAAAGTAATTATAAAAGTTACTAGATTCTTATAATAACGATAAATTGGGGCAGTGGTTTCATGATGATAATAAATGAGTTGCTTGCATTTGCTTGTGGTTGTAATTGTTAAGTATATTAGCATGTCGATTAACGCAGTCTCATTTGTATTAAAATGTTTGTTAGGCTCAATGTCGGTGGTGGTGGTGATGGTGATGGTGGTGGTGGTGACGGAGTGAGCCGTGGTGGTGATGCCGGCAGCAGTGACGATGGTGGTGACGGAGTGAGCCGTGGTGGTGATGCCGGCAGCAGTGACGATGGTGGTGACGGAGTGAGCCGTGGTGGTGATGCCGGCAGCAGTGACGATGGTGGTGACGGAGTGAGCCGTGGTGGTGATGCCGGCAGCAGTGACGATGGTGGTGACGGAGTGAGCCGTGGTGGTGATGCCGGCAGCAGTGACGATGGTGGTGACGGAGTGAGCCGTGGTGGTGATGCCGGCAGCAGTGACGATGGTGGTGACGGAGTGAGCCGTGGTGGTGATGCCGGCAGCAGTGACGATGGTGGTGACGGAGTGAGCCGTGGTGGTGATGCCGGCAGCAGTGACGATGGTGGTGACGGAGTGAGCCGTGGTGGTGATGCCGGCAGCAGTGACGATGGTGGTGACGGAGTGAGCCGTGGTGGTGATGCCGGCAGCAGTGACGATGGTGGTCAGCATTCAGGTCATGACCCACTTAGCGTCGTGAGCTGCAGCTGCCCCTGCCGTGCCCAGCCTGCGACCGTGGCCACTGCTGTGCATTGCTGCACCATATTCGTGCTACATACTCGTCAACATACGCACCATACCTGAGCAACATACTCGAGCACCATACTTGTGCAACATAATCGTTTAAACATACTCCTGCTACATACTCGTGCAACATACGCACCTTACTCGAGCACCATACTCCAGCACCATACTCGAGCACCATACTCTTGCAACATACTCCAGCAACATACTCGAGCAACATTATCGTTTAAACATACTCCTGCTACATACTCGTTAAACATACGCATCATACTCGAGCAACATATTCGTGCAACATACTCGGTATATATACTCTGGCACCATACCCAGCTGGGAAGCCACTGTGGTGCCTTTATAGTGTTTTATAGATGTACTATAATGATTAAATCATCAATATAATATAGCTACTCATTGCGTTCGTTATTCTTTTGAATAATTATACAAATTAAACACTTACATGTTTGACACTCGGTATTAATTACATATTCTTCTTTCCAACATTCCAATTTAATATTTGAACAATCTCACTTAACCAAGCGAAATTGAAAGATAAGTGTTCAAAATATACGCTTATATCTAATTTAATTGCATCGCTGTAAATATCACTTTCTTGCGGAAAGAAATACTGGCTACATTATCGCTAAATGCGTTGTAATGTCACTTTAAATGCAATAATGTCGAATTGTTAAGACGCGTGAGTGTGCATTTTAAACTATTAGTCATTAAAGAAGTGCATGTTCTTATCACCATGGAGACTCGCCCACCTGTCAGCGTATCACAATGCGATGAGGAAGCGTCAGCTTATTGAACCTCACACTCGCTTCGAATAGTTCACTTAGATGTTCACACTCGCTTCAAATAGTTCACTTAGACGTTCACACTCGCTTCGAATAGTTCACTTAGACGTTCACACTCGCTTCGAATAGTTCACTTAGACGTTCACACTCGCTTCAAATAGTTCACTTAGACGTTCACACTGGCTTCGAATAGTTCACTTAGACGTTCACACTCGCTTCGAATAGTTCACTTAGACGGTCACACTCGCTTCGAATAGTTCACTTTTCACACACAGAACCAATAGTTTGGTACTTCAGATCTCGTATATCTCCTCCGAAGTCAACACTGTAATTCTAATCTAAAGCGACTCTACAGTTGCTTATTGAACCTCGCGCTCGGTTCGAATATTTCGCTTTGCATCTTTATAATTCCTTTGATCGCTGTAAACTTGCATGGTTCAAATGCCTGCCTAGAATATTAGTGCTCTGAACTATTAATTTGCAAGAATATTTGTTCGTGGTGTAGTGAGTGTTATTACTTTGATGTGTTCAGTATGTTAGTATGTGGAAACACCTACCGTATTGATGATAGTCAAATTGCAGTTGCTGATGAAGTTATTAGATAAAACTGTGTATGGATTTCGAATTAGATGAAGGCGACGTCCTTCACTTGCATAGTACCGTATATATATATTATGTGCGTCTTTACTTAAGCAACTATACTATGATATTCCGTCATTATAATGGTATTATCGGTTTGAATCGGGCATAAATAAAGCTTTGAGAGCTTAAAATTTAGTGTTTAAGTTATAACGCAGATGTTGCCGTTTCATTCGTGTGGATTTGTCGTGTGTACGACGTACAAGTTTTTTTGTGATCCACGTGCGCTCATTTATTACAGTCACATCTTCATCATTTGCTTTTATGTCTTCGTTACAGATCCAAGCAATTGCCTCCAAGCGTTGTTCTACTTTTGGTACTAGATATATACCTGAGTTTCCTGAGAACACCGGAAAGCAATTAAGACATTGATAAGAGAATATCGCTGCTAGCATCAATTGTGTACATTGTGTCGCGGTGGTGTGGAGGTGTTGGTGGTTTAGTAGTAGGAGTGCTCGATGCTTTAACTCTGTCGTGTCGCCCTCTGCTGCCATGTTCAACGCACGCGTTTTCATTTCTTTAAAACAACGGCTGATTTTCCTCTGCAATCTCAAGATATTTCCGACCTAAACGATTCGATTCTGTGTTATATGCATAGCTCCCTCATCGGCCCCTCGTGTAAGACCCTTTATCGCTGACTCCTATGATGACTATGCTATCGAACAAACAGGGGTTTCGATTCCCCCGACAGACAAACGGTGTGCCACTTAATCCTGCTATTTCTGATCTTGGATATTCATCTTATATGCGTTTTGAGGAGAGTCCGTCACGCTTCGGTCTTATCTCACCCATGGATCCGAACGCTTATGGGACTAGCCGTGGTGCGGGCAGACGCAACATCTTGGAAGCGGCTCTTGGAGGATATCATCTGTACGACGTTTCTAAAAGTGAATACGTTCGTAAAAACGCCATTGCTCGACAGAAAAATTCGCCGTCTAATGTTCAAGATCGTGGAGGTACACGCGAATTCACAAGCGGCAATTCAGGTGATTGGTTCACAGCTTCAACTTCTCACCTGAAACCTGAGAATGAGACACTGGTTGAGCCCTGTCTTCCTGCTAATTGTCTAGAAGACCTCATTGATTTGGACGAGTCGACTGACCCTAAACTCTTGGTTAAATCTCACGTTCTAAATGTTGCAGAAGATACCTCGATGAATTTTGTATATGGCATGGCTGCTGAAACTGAAGATGTAAGCTCATTAAAACAGCTCGACCATGCGGCATGTAAGGAAAAGGACAAAGATGTCCTGGAATTTAGTTCGGCCTTGAGTGAAATAATGAAACTTTATTCCGAAGAGGAAGATGATCTTCCTCCTACTAGTCTACCTCAACAACTAGAAAACGCTTACGCTCTCAGTTCAACTCCGGGTGCGAGTAATGAGAAAGTAATCGACAAAACCTGTTCCCTGGAACCGATCAATTCTGGCAGTGATATTGATGAGTTTATCAGGCATTTTGAAGCGAACATTGAGTGTGAAGACCAGTACGAGGTGAAACAATTTGATGACAAAAAGAAACCCGAGTGTACGAGATCTGTAGACGAACGATGTGTTCGTGCAAATACCAACGATGCAATCGTCGAGTTGGATGAAAGCAACAGCAGTGATGCATGCGAGCAGACCGCTACGAAGTATGTTGAAATCAACATCTGCAGCGATGATTCTTCCTCCGCCAACTTGCAGCCTGACGACGCTAAGATAAAGGAAGAAGTCAGCTGGTTTGAAGCGCTCGTCGGTAGTGATGAGTAAGTCTGTCATTTGATTCTTTATCATCGTCTTTTATTTTACATTTCATCGTCTTTATTTTGAATTTTTATCATGCGCATTCTAGATGCCGTGTAATAGGTTGATTGTTCTTATTTTTTGTAACTTGATTAGATTTTAATTATTATGACATATGTTAACCCATTCGTTTGGATTTAACTAGATATTAATTTATTTTTATTACGACGTTATGGTTTTAAAGAATGGTGGTGGGGACGTACGATATGATGAACTTATATTATGGTAGTGATGGTCATAATGGTGTCGAGCTAGGAAAATCGTTGAGACATCTCATTTACATGAATCACTGAAGAGATGTTGATGTAGACTTGGTAAGGACGAAGAGTTTAACTGTTATGTATTGATGTCGATGGTTGCGTTTGGTGATGGAAATGATGATGGCGAAGAAACTGTGATGGGCAGCAACGTTCCTTAGCAGCTATGTGTCGTATAGTGTCTTGCTATACGTGTCATAACCACATACCATCGCGGAACCCATAAATGCTACACGTTTTGTAACTCTGCAGGGCGGCGTCGCCGTAATTTGTGCTGCAAATCCTTGACGTTTTATAAAGTTTCGTGCTGTAACATCGTAACAATTTATGTATATTTTGTGGTGTAATATCGTAACGTGCAAGCACAGTTTGTGCTGTAACATCGTAACATTCGTGGCTGCAACTCCTCAAGACTCTGTATTGCGCTGTCACGTCGTAATGTGTGCTCACATTAGATGCTTGAACACTGCAACGAAATAAACGTGAACAGCGTAATGTGTAATTAAGTAATTAGTGTGTTTTTAGAGTAAGAGAGTTTAGAGTCGTCGTCTACTAACTTTGATTCGGCTTCAAATTATAATAATTTTTTAACCATAATTTAACAATCTAAATAATCTAAATTTAAATTATACTTGTTTCCTACTCATCCTTGAATAGTCGATCAAGGATCTAACTATAGTAACTACTACGCCACATAACTGCTGCTCTCATTCACCGTTTCCTAATGTCATGTATCCTACCTTTTAAATTTCAAGCATAGGCATATGAGGTTGGTATGTAGCATAAAATGTTAATAATTTTCATTTATGCTATTGCTTTGTGAGCTTAGGATGGAATGGTTTGAAAATATTCGTATCTTGTAGTGAGCATTATATAATTATTTTATGCCTACTAAAAGCCAACCAGTTGGATCATGATGTATAGCGGCATATCATGTTGAATGCATTGAGGAAAGGAACGTTTGCTGGTTCTGTGAGTAATGAATGAATGAATGATGACGAGGTATCACCTCCCCCTAAGCCATGAACTATATCGATATGGTGAATTTGCTTTGCGCTCTCTTTGCTTTTAAATTCCTTGCTAACAGTCTTGGTGTTTAGTTCTGTGCTACTAAGCTTTGTGTACACCCAACCCAGTGTGCTATTGTCTTCAGAAGCATCGAAAAGTTTTGTCTTCAATCATATCGTTCGATCCCTCAACTCTTTGTTAGCCGCCTTAAAAGTAATTAGTATGTACACGAGCATCGCATTTGCATGTTTCGAGACTTGTGATTGTAAAGTCTGGGAAACATCGCATTTCCTGAAACGTGGAAATATTGTGGCATAAAACAATACAATAACACAACGATAACATTGTAAATATAATAACACAACGATAACATTGTAAATATAATAACACAACGATAACATTGTAAATATAATAACACAACGCTTCCTGAAACGGATAAATATTCTAGCATGAAACAATACAATGAAGCAACGCTAACATTGGTAGTATAATAACATAACGCTTACACTGGTAATGCAACACTAGCGCAAACTAACGATGCTGCTGAGGGAGGAGGAAGGCAATCAGTGTGCGTAGCCTGGGCTGCGTTTGGGTTATTGAGTTCCTAGCGCTGCCATGTGGGTCAGGGGGTTAGCTGCGGCTACCTGCTGCACCTGCTGCTGCTACCTGCAGCACCTGCTGCTGCTGCTGCTACATGCAGCACCTGCTGCTGCTACCTGCAGCACCTGCTGCGGGAGTTTGTTTCATACCACACGGCTGCTGTAGAACTACTTATCTGACCACAGCAAGGGTGTGAAATTCTTCCGGGTGGTATTGCAGTAGGTGGTTACGAAAGTTTTTGTCTGTAATCTCAAGTATATTTGACTAGGTTGGTGTGGTGGACGTTTGAAGCCTGCTACGGTGCCACTGATATTAATAGGGGATCTACGGGCGCGTATCCAGGATGCTTATCGTATATTGCCAGAACCTGAGAAGTTTATTTTTAGTGGGAGGAAAGGAAGGGATTGGAGGAAGCGGAGGAAAAGATTGGATAAAAATAAGAAATTTAATTTCGTTATTGGTACATATAATTTATTTGAAAGAGAGTAAATAGTTTTAGATGTTTTGAAACTTGAGTAAAATGGGAGTCATATCTTCTATGCAAAAATATTGGTTTGAGGAGGTTCACATTTAATAAGAATAAAAAAGCTTTGTTATTATTATTATTACCGGAACTAGACATCACGTATTTGGTATAAGAGGATTTCAGAATTGCAGGAATTATCAATCCCATGCAACTCGATCTGAGCTAACCTGCCAGTATTATTTATATGTCGGCGAAAGACGCTGGACATGTGATGTTGAGCACAAATCGCGATAATGTCGTTGATTTGATGTAGTTTATCAGCTATAGTAAGACTGGCTTTGTTTATAGTAGGTACTTTAATTATCTAAAAATTTTAAATAATTACGTATCTAACTAGGAATTGTCTAAACTGATAATGAAGATTTTCTTCGAAACGTTTTCAATGAAGACCGGTTGAATTTACTTGGTGTTTTCTTTGCTTTTAGAGTATTGGTGAACTTTTGATTTTAGAGACCAATGATGGATGTGATGTCTCGCTCCTTCATATGGCTTTCCGAGTCTGTGGTCACGGCTGTATATGCACTTCAGAGACTGTTTGGATGAAGCGCCATTACCCGTAGGAAACGCCAGAATACGGTTGATTTATATCAGTTATTTACTTTTTTCCAAATCACTCGAGTACTACCCTATAAGTCCTGCATTTTGATGAACCATGGGTGCTCAATCAACTCTGGATCGCGTTAATTAGCGACGTCCGTACATCGATTCAACAACGTACGACGCAAACGGAGACTTTCAGGTTGAATATTCACTGTTTGAATGAAGAAGGAAAACCTCAACTTTTTCATTTATAAATGTTAATTTTGAATATGGGCGATCAATGCTTTGACCTCGGGACGTTGACTCTAAAATGGCTCTGGCATTAAATGTTGACGGTCATAAGTCCACGACACAGCGTTGAAGTCGCGAATCGTGCTAAAACTACAAAATTTATGAATTTTTTATTTATGTTGTTTTTTATTTCTTCGTTTAGTTTGTTGAAGAAATAGCGCGAATTAAGATAGAGTTAAATTAAAATCATGTGTCGGAACTTTTATTCCATTTTTATTCGGTAAACCCCGTCTTGAAATATAATTCTGAGACTATATGTTATACCATTATTTATTTTAAAAGCGTAAACGATCATTTTAATGTAACGAATTTCTTACATTTTTGACGGCCTGACTGGACAATAAGAATTTAAGTATCCAGCAATGCTCATATTTTTTTAATATCGTAAACGCGCTTTCTTATTAAACGAATTTTTTCCATTTTTGAATCCTGACTTGACTTGACTTGCTGTTATCTTGTTTACGTGCAGGAGTTTGTTCACTTGACAATAAGAATTTACGTATCCAGCAATGCTGATGCTGTTCTCTTGTTTACGTGCAGGAGTTTGTTCAGAGAGACCGAGTGTGACAAGTCATGGACGATGATGAACACTTCAACGACCTCTCAACAGCAGCAGCCACAGCAGCAGCAGCAGCAACAGCTCAAGAAGAGGCGTAAGACTGGAGGTGCTCTCTCGCCAGACACTGCCAGGCAGCTGCAGCAGCAGCAACATTTCCAGCTGTAAGTTTTTTTATACAACTCTAACATAACTTGTGTTAGAGTTGTGTTATGTGTTAGTCGAACATTGAATTGTGTTCAGTTCTCTGTCAAGCTACTGCATGTTAACTTAATTTATGTTGAGTTCTAATTAAGCTGAGTAGTGGCATTTCCAGCTGTAAGTTTTTATACAACTCTAACATAACTTGTGTTAGAGTTGTGTTATGTGTTAGTGTGTTATGTGTTAGTCGAACATAAAATTGTGTTCTGTTCTCTTTCAAGCTAGTACTGCATGTTAACTTAACTTATGTCAAGTTCTAAGCTGAGTAGCGGCACTTCCAGCTTTTTTATTGTATCTCGCATCAAATAAATAAATATAACATTTACTCTCATCAAATATTATGTTATGTATGCACATTTTGTCTGTAAGTTGCGACGTTAACGTAAAAATAATTTCAAATTGATTGACCAGCAATTTCCGCTCAAAGTTGATATGTTGAAGCCTATAAAGTTTTGAACTATATTATTTGTCTTCATATGACAATGGCAATTTTGATTACGCATTAGGTGCACCTAACGTCAGAACCTGTTGCGCAGCAGTAGCATGAGGTGCACCTAACGTCAGAACCTGTTGCGCAGCAGTAGCATGAGGCGCACCTAACGTCAGAACCTGTTGCGCAGCAGTAGCATGAGGCGCACCTAACGTCAGAACCTATTGCGCAGCAGTAGCATGAAGCGCACCTTAAGACAGAACCTAGCGCTCCTAGTGTTCGAGTTGCTCCTAATGAACCTGTTGCTTAGCGAGAGGATGGGATGCGCACAATTATAGCTTTTGCTACATGGCAAGAAGATAAAGTGTGCGCATTAATGGCGCTTTACTCGTACCCAGTGCATGGAGTGAGCGCACTCATTGCACCTGTTGCACCCTCTTAGGACAAGGCACCTGTTGCGTATCGGCCGGCTACTGTATTAAAGTCGTCCGCACCTCTGCCGTATATCTGATGCGTCGCTCTGTCCAGCCGTTCTCATTGCGAGCAGCATTTCACCGCTTTTTTTCACCCCTTATTGCCTTTCTTTTAAATTTACATAAGGCGGAAACGCTTGGTATTTGATAGTGTATTGCGTCATTTAGGAAGCGTCAGAATAGCCATCAATTATTTGTCAATGCTGCCTTGCATCCCGCATTCAAGTGGATTTCCCTTATAGTTCTCCAATTTTAATTGTATCTACGGAGCGGTTCTCTGCTATAAGAAGCGCTAAACCGCTCCGGCTCAGGAGCAGAAGCGGTTGCCTCCCAGTAGTCCTGCCAGCATTTTAAAAACATTTAGATATATGGATATATTTTTCAACAATAAATGTCATATGTATGCAAATTTGTTTAAATTACCTTATAATAACCAAATGTTTTTTCTCGTTAATCATTAATCCGCGTGTCTGGAGCGTCGGTGGAGGTGTTGGGGGGTGAGGGGGAGGCGGTGGGTGGCGGTGTAGTGGGTCACTTTGTCTCGTCTAGAAATTGAATAGTTTGTACAGTTATTATCCATGATAGTATGTCTCGTATCGTTTATATCTATTTCGTAACGTTTCATAATATCCTAGAAGCCAATTTTAAAATCCGGGACACAACTTGTGTTCCGATTTATATTCCTGATTATTTTTCTATATCACATTATTTTTCTCTTGAAATCTCTTCTAGTCGTTTCGCTTTATTTCGAGACAATTATTCCGAGTGCGCATGTGTCTCAATATCTATGTTAACACGTTTACTCCGAAGTGGTACATATGCGTACCACGAAATGTATTTCTCCAGGACGTAGTGGTACATAATTCAGGTTGCCTAAAATCAGCCATATCCGGGAACAAAAAAGGCCAAAAAAGGCCGATAACTCAATATATACTATATTTGTAGGTTCCGCTATAATAATTCCATTTATTTTCTTTTTGCAGTATTTAAACTTTAATTAGGAAGCACCCCTATCATAAATTTTAGCCGGCCAACGCAATTGTGAAAAACTAAATCACGGAAATTGTCCGGAAAAAATGACCGTCTGGCAATCCTGTTTAAGAACAGTACAAAAAATGAAATAATAGTACAAGATGAAGCAATCGGAGTCAATAGTGTTAAGCTCTCATTTTCATTTTCCATTCTCCCTTTTGTGCAAAACAATTCTGTTTCTCTCGTACCGCCCTACATAACATGCATGCAGCGACTACTATGATGATCGAATCTTGCACAGTTTTATTGCAGGTCAAATCCATGTTAATCATTCATTCATTCAATAATCATTATTATTGTTTGTGTTTCCAGGAGCAAGTCCCTGAACGAGAGGCGGCGACGGGAGCAAGAGAATTTATACATTGAGGAACTAGCGGACATCCTTCAGAGCAGCGTCCTAGCGCCCGATATGACCGCTCTGTCGGTCAAACCCGACAAGTGCGCCATCCTTCATCATACTGTCAAAAAGGTCGGTTATTTCCTTGTCACCAGATGCATTGTAGGCCAAAAATATCGACAGCTCATTTGTTTAACTTTATTTATGTGAATTTGTGGGCACTTTGAGTCATACAAGTTAGGAACCATTGGGTCAGAAAGGTCGGTTATTTCCATGTCACCAGATGCATTATAGGCCAAATATATTGACGGCCCATTTGTTTAACTTTATTTATGTGAATTTGTGTGCACTTTGGGTCATACTAGTGGGGAACAATTGTGTCAAAAAGGTCGGTTGTTTCCTTGTTACCAGATGCATTTTAGGCCGAATATATTGAGGGCCCATTTGGTCGACTTTATTTCTGTGAATTTGTGTTCACTTTGAGTCATACAAGTTGGGAACAATTGGGTCAAAAAGGTCGGTTGTTTCCTTGTCACCAGATTCATTATAGGTCGAAAATATCGACAGCCCATTTGTTTAACTTTATTTCTATGAATTTGTGTGCACTTTGAGTCATACTATAGTGGGAAACAATTGGGTCTAAAAGGTCGGTTGTTTCCTTGTCATCTGATGCATTATAGGTCGAAAATATCGACAGCCCATTTGTTTAACTTTATTTCTGTGAATTTGTGTGCACTTTGGGTCATAAAAGTTGGGAATAATTGGGTTCAAATAGGTGGTTAATTTATCAGCAAGTTTAACCCTTGGTAAGCGTCTGATAGTATAAACGTCACATGCCGTCATGGTGTTAAGAAGAATGTTAATTATTCAACTTTTGTAGGTATGCAATCTGGCACCAAAACGCCGTGTGAAATACGCGTTGAATTTCTTCCTAAATTGACGCTCATTCTTATTCCAATCGGTGCTACAGCCTCCAAAAAATTTTATCATTCGTCGGTGTAGCTGGAAACAGGACATTCAACCCTCATCATATACATATTGATTATTCGCTTCATGTTTCCTCCGACCGTTCTAAAGATCACCGATCTCCTTTAAAGTCCTCCTGCTGATGTGATGAAACAAATGAGGGCGCTGAGTTCCTCGTGCCATCATTTGGGCAAAGTGATGACAAGCCGTTGAATTCTTTATTTCTATATTGATGTCACCTGCATGTTTTCTCATCTCCGTGCTTTGGTATTATCATAAGCACCATTTATAAGTCAATATTTTACCGACGAACCGAGTCTTTCATTAGCTAAGTAATTGTCTTCCTTATGTTGTACACAGGTTACTGAACCTGGCTCTCTGAAATAAACAAAATTCTAATATCCTATGGAAATATATTCTTATATTGCCCCTCGCTCAGCGTGGGGTCGTTAACCCTCGGATGTGGTGCACTCTTTCACCTCCCATCAGATTTTCGACCACTTTTTAACCGTTCACATCACCCACAAGCATTCCTGAATTTTGCGACTGCCCGTATGTTTCGATCATTATTTGTTGGTTTTGTAGCGACTTTTCTCCATTGGCGTAATTGGAGCTGTGCAATAGCTAGCTGCGTCCACGATACTAATCGTTACTTGTTTTTCTGTATTTATTATTCGTATGCTCACTATTTGCCACTCATTCTTAGATCTTATACGACGGGTATCTTATAACGTATTTGGGGCCTGTACAAAGCAAGGTTCAACAAATTTGGTGTGGCCCATAATTATATAGGTATATATATTTTAGCTAAAATGTCAGTAAGATCTGATTAATTTTACCTCGATGTAAACTCGTTTGTGCTAGCGAATCCTTGAAATGAAAACGTAGTCGGGTATCATTTTAGCTGAAAAAATAAAGATTTTTCTCGTGGATCCTGCGCTTAGTTGCGCGACATACGAATGGCAGTTGGTAGCGGACTGGAAGATGTACACACATGGCTCGGGGTGCGCTCTAAACCACGATATTATTACCTCTTTTGTTAAAATACCGTATCGTTCATCAGAAGAAAGAGTGCATTATATGTTCGTAGGGAGACGTTAAAAAAATTATATGGAACATTATCGATGTTTGTTGCCAAATTCTGTCATTGTTTATGTTATGTACACGGTTGAACACTCATTCTGAAAACGCTTTCTAATTGATCGTAACCGCCGTTGATCGGTGGTTTCCATCAATAAAAATTTGACCTCGAGAACAGCCATTTGCTCAGTGTAGTATGTTTTTTCGGTTTAGGTGTAAAGAAGTCCCTCGATTGTTTCGTACGTTCCGCCTTTGGTGGTATTTGTTTCGTACGTTCCGCCTTTGGTGGAGAACGACTTAGCGAGCTGCTGTTTGGTGCTCATGTCTGTTGGAGGCGCCGTGAGAACGACTTAGCGAGCTGCTGTTTGGTGCTCATGTCTGTTGGGGGTGCAGTGTTGCTATCTATGTTTAGAATAATTTGTCAATAATTTTCCTTTTGTTCTTATATACTACAACGAAGGACGTTTTTGTTCTGGTTACAATGATAGGAGTTTCTTCTATCCATTACAAAAGATAATGCTGTTTAAATAAAAGATAATATTGCAGTAAAATGAGACGTATTGATCTACTGATTTTCATCGTTCTTCCGTTCTTACAACAAAATGCTCCACGTGCTGATACTGTAGCAATGTCGGTGTAAAAATCAATGAACAGCTTTCATGACGGCGGCATTCACAATCGTTCGAGATCACGCAAGTTTTGATCAAAGAATACCAATGCCCCCCAGAGCGCTTCAAGTTGCTTGAGTGCCGCAAACTCTCCCTTCTCCCCACCGCTCGCTGAAAGTATCTCGCAGTATATACATGCATATACCCTAACAAAATTTAGAGTCGCCCCAGTTTCTGCTAATCCAAATCAGCTAGAAGCTGACGCGTCTGTAAATTTTCACTGGGTAATAGCTATAGACGAATACGGTCCCGGCAACGTATTCATATCTCAGCGATCGGCTATGCCGGCAATCAGAGACCGCGATCAATCGTGGCCTGGAACTGCTACGTCCGAAACAAATACTAAGTATGCTAATGATAAGCGATTTGCTATGCCACGAGTAGATATAATTTAACCGGTGTTGCTTAACTGCCTTATGTATGAATATATTTTGCAATATGGCTTCATTTATTGTTATGCAATCAACACTCGGGCGATATTTTAGTCATCTTTGCCATGAACATACAGATTACCTGGTGAATGCTCATAGATTTTTAGTTAGGTTAGTAGTAGTAGGAGTAGTAGTTAGTAGTATACTATTAACCTGGGGCTAGTTTTGCAGGTCAATCAACGAGCCTGTGACCATCAAATTTGTTCAAATTGATATTGGCGTTTCATATGCTGGTACATGATGTTCATGCACCTGTTCATAAACAATCGTTTCATTAAATGTATCATCATTGAAAAACACTCGCGCGAGTATAACCTGACATTCCTCTATTCTGATCCCATTCCTGCCACCCTAATTGTCCTAGTTTGATGAATGACGAATCACGCCGGTTTTGAGCCATAACAAGGCTTTTCCATACAGGCTTGCATTGCGTGCTCTGTATTCAGAGGAATGAACGGGGTCATTGTCTAGATAGCGATGCACTTTTTTGCCGTAAGTGGGTAATATTTACCCTGTTTTAACGACAAAAAGCACTGATTACCCGGCAAAACGGCGTATCAGTGCTCTGCTAGATTGACTACAGGGGTTAGATTTTTAAATAAGGGTAAACAACAGACGAATCCACAAAATATATTTTAGTATGGTCTATGTTCATCTTTTGCGGCAATTACAGCCTCTATGCTCCGAGGTATTGATTCATAAAAATTGTGAATATTTCCAAAGGGTTTTAACCCATTAATTCAGTCCAGCTTTTTTAAAGACAATAGTGACGGGAATCGACTTTTGACTTGCATCTATAAAATCGACCATAAATGATCGATAATATTCAGGTCTGATCATCGGAACATATCATCGTGAAAGATGGCGTTCTCCTCTGGAAACATTGCTTGAACCATTGGATGAACTTGGTCCTCTAAAATTCGTAAATAGTCACGGCTGTTGATTCTTCCACAAAGAAAAATCATTGGTCCGCCGGATTTCCAAGAAATAGCACCCCAGATATCATACCACGTCATGTTCAAGTGTAACGGTTGGAAGGAGGCGGTCGGGATTAAATATGGCTCTTTTGGCTGTCTATACAAATGTAAACTCGGCCAGAGGTTGGAAATAAGATAAACGATGATTCGTTAGAAAAAATCACATTTTTTCCACTGCTCGAGGGACCAATTCTGGAAGTTTTTACATCACGCTTTGAAACATTTGTATTTGAAATAAGTTTTCGAATTGCAGCTCTTCCAAAGAATCCAGATCTGTGCAGCTCTCGGTTGACAGTCTTCATGGAAATTGGGTTTTGTAGGTGTCCATCGAGTTTTGCAGTAATTTATACAGCCGTGGTCTTTCGATTGTCCATCACAATTCGATTTAAGTACCGACTGTCACTCTCAGACAACTTCGACTTTCGGCCATACCTGTGCTTTACTAAGGATGTCTTTCCTTCTCTTTCAAAAGCAGGTATTACTTTTAGACAGTACCTCTAGAAACGTCAAGCATTCGGGAAATTTCTGTCACACTAGCACCTGCCATACGGGCACCAACAATTTTGCCTCTTTGAAAGTCAGAGAGGTTTGCCATTTATAGGTTAAGTTATATTCACAAAAATCTACTAAAAATATCTGTGAAAGGATAAAATGTCAATTAGCAGCAAAAATAAAATATAAAAATGTGTCACGTTTTCATTGTTTATAACAGTTCAAAAATTACGATATCAAAATGTCAGCTGTTTTCTTCATTGTGTCCAACCCATGTATATGACGTATTAATTTTTCTGTGTGTAGGTGTCCATGTTCTGATGCACGTGATTTTTGCGTCCACGGGGGAGCGTGGGCTATATAAGTGAGGCAGTTGCCGTTGCTTTGTATCTCATGAAGGCTCTAGCGCGGCCCAACTTAGTGAATTACTCATAATATATTGTGGCAATCGATGTATAGCTCGGCCAAACTCATTATGAATTTTTCAAGAATTTATCGTGGCCTTGAATGTAGGTCTC